TCCAAATGTGGTAGGGTTGTTTATTGATGAGGTTATTTGATTAGTTTAGGTAGACTTAGTTTAAGGATAAACATGTCCAGAAAAGCTCAATTCAGCTGTAACTTAGGATCAGTCAAGATGGATGTTTAAGTCACTACAAGCAGACTACCGTCTTCAGGAAAGAAGAAATTCTGTGCATGGTTTGTGGACATAGTCTCACTTCCTCTGATAATAAAAAAAACTTTCAGATGAGGGAACTATCTCATTCAGTATACTTAGAAATCTGTGTGGTTAGGTTTACAGCTTTGGAAGTTCTATCATTTCAATTGTAATGGATGAATTGTTTTGCTCTATAGTAACGTTAATTAATTTGTGAAACATTTGTGAATGGGAAGATCTACAGAAGAGATTTACCTCCTTAAATTCTCATGAATCTTATATGTGCTTAGTCGAGGTGCAAGAAAATTCCTGTAATGCAGAGTTCTAAATGAAGAAAATTCCTGTAATGCAGAGTTCTAAGTTAATGCTTACTTTTATCAGCAAAATAGAGGTACACTCCCAAAAATACCTTGACTCACAATTCCATGTGAAACTCAGATCTCTTTATTTCAATCACTCAACCATCAACCAATCAATAAAAAATAAATACATATAAAAATACAATAAATAAATCCATATATAAATACCTGGGGCTTTAGTAAAATTGTATGCAACAGTACTAGGTTAGTTATGTTAGTATAGCATGGTTTTAAGTATTAGGTCTATTATATTAGTTACTCATTATTGCATCATCAAACTTCCCATATCGCTTTAGTTGTGGCTCTCTTTTTACTACATCACATCAGTGGACAGGTTGATGGCAATTCTTTTAAATTTCAAATTTAATAATTAACTAATAATATTTGTTAGAATATCAATCAGAGGATGTATTTTCAAGACAATTCCACTCATATCTGACCTCACACCACAATCAGCACCAGTACTATAGAAAAAAAATATTCTACATCAGTGTCAGAAATATAACAAAAAAATTAAAATGTGAAAAAATGTAAAAACATAATTTATGTAAAATGTCAAAACAAAATCTAAAATGTAAACACACACACAATTTAATATTAATTTTAACTTTTTTTGTTGTTTTAATCTTGCATTGAAATGTAAAAAACTATGCAAGTGAATCTGGTTTAAAAAATGTAATATTCCAAAACAACTGTAATTGAAATGTGAGTTCAATTATTTAAAAATGTAAAAAAAAAAAAAAATCATACATTTTAATATAATGTATTTGGATATAATGCAGCATTTACTTTTTGCCCACTGCCCTTAATTTGTTTTCATTTTTGGCCCTTCACATTAAAAAGTTTGGGCACCTCTGCCCTAAATGGACATGGACATGCAAAAACTAAGATGGTGAGGAAGAATCATATTTCAGTGCTTTTGCGTGTTTATTCACAAAATGCTTGCATTCCCCCGAGAAACTGCATTGTGAACACAAACTTTCTTTAGGTAAGACAAAAGTTTTTTGAGAGAACGCAAAAGCATTAAAATCTATTTTTCCATATCATATCATTTTTTTTCATGACCATGTCCCTTTAAGGGCTCCATATTGTGAGTCTAAAAACACTGTTAAAACTTACATATTCTTATTTGTAAAAAGGATATTTAAAGTGATACTCCACTCAAAAATGAAAATTCTCTCATTATTAAACTATAAACCACCACTTATTTAAAATCATCAAGTGTCAACTTTTGGGTGAATATCCACTTGCATTATATGGACACAGAGATGGATTATCAGAAGAAAGTAAGTCATATACATCTGGCATGAGGGTGAATAAATTATGACATTTTCATTTTTGGGTGGAATTTCGCTTTAAGACCCCCAAACCACAACTGGCCCCCATAATTCCAATAGGACTTAGCACCCTGGTTAAACAATTCAAAAGATATTGAATGTATTTCGTCTTTAAAGGTCCTTCAAACTCATCATGGACCTACTTAGAATCAGAAGCCAGGCTATTAATTAGTTCTTTGAGCTCATCAAGGTTTCAAGTATTATGTTGAGCATCTTGGAGACTGGTGTTTGAAGAACAGTAGGCCTATTTTTTTAATGAAAGCGAAAATAAGTCTACCTGGCTGTCCGATCACGGCCGGGGGGAAATCCTGGTGACTCACCACCCCCACTCAACAGCTCAATAAAAGATGCGTCTACGCTGACACTACAAGCAGTTTGCTTCTAAACACTGCAGACGAAAGGAGAATCAGATTCTATAGGACATTTTGTTACTATGAATTCGTCGTTGATATTGGCACTTTGCGTTGCGTTATCGGCGCTGTCGAGCGCCAGTGGAGCTCCGGTGCGCGCAGCTGGTGAGGTGAATTTCACGGAGTGCAAAGCGCTGTCTATCAAACTCAATGAGATGGCGAGACATTTATACAACACGGTTCGTACATTAAGGATGATGTATTTAATCTATTTTAATTTATTTTCAGACATTTTTTTTTTCAGGCACCTTCTAGAGTTGTTGATAATAATAGGCCTAACGCATTTTTTATGCTCTCTGCAGGTTGAGTTCCCAAAAATGTCAAGTATCATTGATGACCCTCCAGTGTCTATAAGACCGATTGACACATGTAACCCACGGAGCCTTCTAGACAACAGAGAGGTAAATAACTAGAGTAGACAAAAACTCCACAAAGTGGACAAAAACTCCATGAAATAGATTTGAAAGTTGTGAAAATGACAAACTTTTATACAGTGTGTGCAACTGTATGTGTAGTATCCAGCCTAGTTTTCATCCACGTAAAATTCAATATGGCCTCTAACCTGAATAAGGTCTATACAAAAGCGTGTGTTTACTTGGTCAAATGTTGTAATTTGTCCCTATCTGTCTTGCATTTCAGACTTGTCAATCTAGAATTATTCTCGCTCTGAAAAACTACACCAGAATTTTCCACAAGAATGGTGTGTTTAAGAATTCAGCTTGCAGCAAGTGGAGAGCGCGCGCCAATGAGATCGCCAATGTTACCAGAGACCTCCTGCACATGCTTAAGGTAGCCTATGTCTGTTTTTATTCAAAATCTTCGCTATTGTTTCATGTACTTCCTTTTGATACAGTGTCTGGACACCAGCCACTTTTCAACAAGAGGCACAAAGTTATTCCCACATCCTTATCTGTTATCCTTCTGGAAAGTTTCATATGTAAATGATTGTTGCATTAGTTTCTCTATTAAGCACTTTTAATTTCATTATTGTTCTTGTTTGATGATCAGGAACCAGTGGTGGACGCTCCTTTGACTGCAGTGGACTGGTATGACAACGCTCTGTGTCGGGACAGCGTAGAAAGGCTCTACTCCTTCTCTATTATATCTGCACGCGTCTTCTCATTTCTGGCGTCCCAAGAAGCTCCTCAAGTTGAGATGAAACAGTGTTAGTTTGAGAGGAAAAAGACATATACATGTCAGTTGTGATCATGTTGGTCAAAACGTTCAAACAGCTTTTGCTGCTTCTACAAATGTTCTCCTGTGTTATAATAACATGGATTTAATAACATCTTAAAGTTGCGTTAACATTGAGAGTTCATGTATGAGGTGATATATTTATAGAACTATTTATTGTGTTCTTATTTATTTCTATATTTATTGTACAATAATTGTATCACAATGTGTAACATTTTTAACTTCCAAAGAAGTGCGTAATTTATAGCTAATAAATATATCAACAAGTCTTCTATATCTTGTCTTCATTCATGTGTATTGTTCGTTGAGGGAACAAAGAAATTAACTGAAGAACTAACATGCATGCAAATTACTTTTACTCTAATTAACAAGGAAATGACTGAGCAAATGTGGGCAAATTTCCCAGTTGAAGTCAACAACTTTCTGTAAAAGGAGAGGGAAGATGTGATTTCCATAAACATTCATGCTACGCTTTATGGTGGTATGAAGCTTCCTGCAAAATATGTCCCAAACTCTGAGATGCTGTCACCACTCAGTTCTCTCAGGAACGCATGTGTATTGTCCTGCCAAGAATGATGTCATTACTACAAAAGGGAACTTGGTTTACCAACAAACACACAAGACAAGCAAAGACAGAGTTCACATTATTGACTTATTCCAGCTAATACCTTTTTTGTGTGTGCAAGCTTTATCATCAGACATTTTCTGACAACACTGCTAAAATATTTAACTATACTCATTCTTATCATTCTTCTTATTATGACATACATGTGTGAAATTTTTCCTGTGGTCACAGTATGTGAAAAGGAAGTAGGAATATTGCCACTTCCAATGAATCTATAAAAACAATAGATATCACCTCTGATAATGTCTCTCACTCATGAAATATTTTTAAGTCAGCCTATTTATATTTTTTAAAATATTAAACATTGTCAAATGTAGGCCTATAACAACTATAGCAGCACTTGTTGAAATGAAATAAAACATACAAGGCTTTACTACAAACTACAAATATATGATATAAAAAGAATGAAGAAATATAAACACGAATTATATTTCTAGTTCATAAAATATACATTAAATTAGATTTTAATTTGATATATATCCTGTTAATTTGTAGAATAATTGAAAATAAAATGATAAATTAGCCTACATATTCCCTACAAGCTTGCTGAGACATATGTCTCAACTAAATAAATTCCTACACAAAATACCCTGATAATATAATTTGAAATAAAAAATACTTACTAAAATACTGAAATAAAAAAAAAAAATTAACGAAACAAAGTAAAATACATTTTAAATCCTCGTTGTGGTAATGGTCAGATGGCGGAGAGAATCTAAGGCTGTGTTTCAAACCCTCTGCGCTGCATACGCACGTGCCGCACACACACGCGCTTAGAATGCTGTCTACATAGGCAGGTCGCTAGGTTTTCAGACACAGCCGCAGAGTCTCTATTTCCTGGTTACTTCGCAAGGTGGGTGGCTGTCATATGACAACATTAGCTCTTTATTTACACCATTTGAATGTACTTTAACGTTGAGCCGTTTTTATTGCTTGCTTCATTTGTGCTTCATGACTCTTCTTCATGGCGCTTTTTGCCATGTTTTATCAGCAACGACTGAACTACTGTTGAATCCACTAGTCGTATAGCTAACAGTGTTCGGATGATAAATTTGCATGAATGTTGTACATACTACGCATTAAGACTCCGCAAAGTACATATTAGTCTCGGTCGCTTGTATACACACCTAAATAAACCACAAACAATTTATCGTCGCAGACGTTAAAGTTATGTAATTGTGATAACGAATGTCTCATTGTACAGAGCATGGTTTCTGTTAAAGGGCATCCTTGTTTGTTTTGAATGGCTTTGGGTGTTTGCATGAGGCATATCATGGCTGTTGTTTTCGTGCAGGATGAATGTGGGCGTTGCTCACAGCGAGGTGAACCCAAACACGCGGGTGATGAACAGCCGGGGGATCTGGCTGGCCTACCTGCTGCTCACCACTGCCCTGCATGTGGTCTTACTCAGCATCCCTTTCCTCAGTGTGCCTGTGGTGTGGACTCTCACCAATGTAATTCACAACCTGGTCAGTCCATGCAAGAAATCTTTAAAGGAATAGTTCACCCAAAAATGAAAATTTGCTGAAAATTTACTCACCCCCAGGCCATCCAAGATGTAGATGAATTTGGTTCTTCATCTGAACAGATTTGGAAAAATGTAGCAATATATCAGTTGCTCAGTTGTTCTGATGGGTGCCGTCAGAATGAGAGTGCAAACAGATGATAAAAACATCACAATAATCCACAAGTGATCCACACAACTCCAGTCCTTCAATTAGTTAAACTCATGTACATCTTGGATGGCCTTGGGGTGATTAAATAATTAGAAAATTTTCATTTTTGCTTCAAGTATTCTATTAAAATGTTTTTTTAAAGGAATGATAGTTTACCCAAAAAGAAAAATTCTGTTGTCATTTACTCAATCCCATTGTGAATCTAAAGCAATAATAAAAGAATCAGCTAAATGACACTTTAGTCGTTTGTAACATTAACAAAGCCACGTCAAGCATCAGTAATTGTGATATTGTGTCTGTATATAATAAACATGTACAAGTTGTTTTCTTCGTTCAGTGGTCAAGTGTTAACTCACTTTTCTGCCATCTAGGCAATGTATCTGTTTTTACATACCGTCAAAGGCACGCCGTTTGAGACACCGGACCAAGGCAAGGCACGTTTGCTTACTCACTGGGAGCAGATGGACTACGGCGTCCAGTTTACAGCGTCAAGAAAGTTCCTCACCATCTCACCTATTGTACTGTGAGTCATATTCATATTTCTCTAGTAACTGACAGAAATAGGCCATATGTGATTAATATAAACTGCTTTATTACTTCATCATATAATCAGTAATTACCTATTTTTTAATTATAATTCTGTATCAACTTTTTTTATTTCATTTATATTCTTTATTACATTTTATTCTATTTTATGATTATACATTTCTTATTGTTTATTCTCAATTATATATAATCTTTTACAGTATAATCATAAATGCTGTTATTTTTTTCGTAGGTACATCTTGGCCAGCTTCTACACCAAATATGATACTACTCATTTCCTAGTAAACACAGGCTCACTACTAAGTGTTCTCCTTCCCAAGTTGCCTCAGTTTCATGGAGTTCGTCTGTTTGGTATAAATAAATACTGATATGACACTTCAGCCCACTTGTGGATGGGATGTAGCATCATGGAGATGAGATGAGATGACTGAAATTCCTTTATTCTCCACATGATGCTTCCTTGGTCCAAAGCCGTAAGGCCTTAAGGAACCAAAACTGCACTGGACTGAAGTACACTATTTAAAAAAAGGCCTTCCATGCTCAGGTTTATTCAGTCCGTGGCGTTTCTTTTTTTAAATCCTGTCTTACGTCTGTAATTTCTCTTCATCAAAATCTCTACATCTCCATCACAATTTCTAGATTGATCACATTCAAGGATGTTTTTGACTGCATTGCACCAGACAATGTGCCAAATTATCACCTGCTGATATTAATTTTTATTAAGGTTCACTTTGGATAAACCTATTTGCCACAACAAGCTCTGTCACTGTGGGGTCAAAGCATGATAGCGCTGAATTACAATATTCAGAAAGTTTTTGTCAGTGTTCTAGTTAGTATATATACAACATGGACAACTGCAGTAAATAAGTTATGTTGAATTATTAGAAAAACTGATTTTGATTTTAATTTGAATTGTCTTATTGCATTTTTCATTTCATTTGCTCCATAAATGCAAAACAGTGATCTGTGACAATGTATGAATGTGATACGATAAACAAGCTTAAAGTGCTCTCTTAAAGGGATAGTTCACCCAAAAATGAAAATTTGATGTTTATCTGCTTAAACTGAGCAGTCTGATAGACTGCAACGGCTGGAGTTAAAAATCATCATTTGTGTTCTACTGAAGAAACAAAGTCACCTACATCTTGGATGCCCTGGGGGTAAGCAGATAAACATAAAATTTTTATTTTTGGGTGAACTATCCCTTTAAAGTTAATTGCTTACGTTTCTTGTAGAGCGCTGGTTATATTAGATTTCTTTGAATTCCTGTATTTATTTCATTTTTTATCATATCATGAAACATTCCAATTTGAGGCAATTGCCTTGGTGCGCATACATTATAATTATAGATTTTCAAAATGTACATGTCTGTATGGATCATGTTTGTTCACAATATAAAAGTGAAACAAAAGTGGGTAACAAAAGTCTGAGACCACATTGAAAATGAAGTATTCAAAATCTAAAGCTGGAAGTAATCTGAAAGTTTCAGAATGTTTAAAAATAAAACATTGGAATGTTAAATGAAAAAGAAATAGTATATTCTGCACTTTTTACGTTTTCCATGTTCCTTTTTTATGTGAAACGTACGTGATGAGATGGTTTTTGGGTCGTTCTCAAGTAACGCTGGAGATCACGATTATCAGGTTTTACACAAACTTGTGAAGTTCATGCAGTGCATTTAGGCAAAAAGAAGACAAACCAAATAATCTGGCTTTCTGAAATTTATGATGATATTTAGAGTCATCGTTTCGTTAACATTTGTGATGACATTTTTTTTACTTTTGGACCCAATGTCACAATAAAATTACACAATATGACATTTCAGTATGAAATTTCCAGTCAAGTATGTTCTTTGTTTTTCAACCCAGTTGTGTGGTGTTGCACTGGTATAATTGAAATGGCTCTTGCACAAGATAACTTATCAGTCATAAAGTAATTTGGACTATAATACAAAGTCTCAGAGCACCTAATGTGATGATATGATATGCAAATCGCTGCATACATCGACCTATATCAAAGAAATTACATTTACAGTCGCACTTGTGGCAGTATATGACCCTCATTGCGTAGCCACCGGTGTTTATTCAATATGATAAACAATTATAATGAACACAACATTAAAGTCTGATGCTCAGAGAGAGTGGCATGAAGTTGCATCATATTACGAGGAAGCATGTAAATCATCTGAAGCAATCATAATACTACAGGATCAATCTAACGACATGCAGATGAACAGTTAACGTGGGAATCCTCGCCTCTTACCTATTGGATAACAACAAACCACACAGGTGAACAAGGAAGAGGTGTAAGAATGTGCCACGAGGAAGTTAAACAAACACACACACACGCCGTACACACAGACACAGACTCGGCCGTGTGTCAGTCCGATGAATATGGACGCGCATTTGGATAAGTTGTGAAGGTGTACCGGGGGAAATCCGTGAGTTTTACATGTTGCACACCTACAGGCGGACGGGGCAAGCCCAGCGACAGCGATAAACCGATAGCTGGACGCGAATCCCCACCTACAGGCTCAGGTGTCTCCCAACTGCATTTCAGGGAAGAGGGGAATAGTGTCCTCGGCCCACCTATGCCACCGATTTGAATAGCATATGTAACACGCTGTTTATTTACCACGGAAGCACATGCAAATAGTATTCTGGCTCAGTGCGCTAGAATACTGAGGAATCCTGTGCAAGTGACACACGGGGAGCACCGCTGATGTCACCGCTAGAATGCAAACAGCATTTGCATGAGCTGCAGAGGAAGAACGGCGACAAGGAAGGCTGTGATATCTGTTCTTGCCCGCAACTTTAGATTCAGCCTTTCTAAGCCGATCGGATCCAAAACCAAAAGCTGAGGCGGGATTCCTGAGAGGTGCGTTACAGAACAAACAATCCTTCTGCTGTTTTCTCGCTATTCTGCTTTCTTCGTGTTCCTGTTCCAAAACCTGCTACAAAGAAAGGCTTGCACTGATCGATGAAGGTCAGCCAAACCACAGCATTTGTATAAAGAAAACCAAAAGCTGATCAGCCGTAAAACAGTGGTTAAAGAGGGACTGCGTCTTATTCTGCTGACGGCTGCGGAACGACTTGATAGGTTAATTATATAGGTTCATTTACTGGAGAGGTGAAGAGGGAATGTAGAAGTGAGTCAGCAATAATAAAAACAAGACAGAAGAAAAGTGAAAATGATTTTAGGGGAACCTTATTTTAAAAAGATGATCTTGTTTCTTATTGCAGAAGAAACACGTGCAATAGACGGTTTACGAAGCCCCTAAATATGGGAGAAAAATATTCCAATGATTTTGCGTCTTACATTAAGCTTTACTATTGTGGTTTTCATTTGCAAAGCAAAGAAATACGTGTGGACACAAAAACATGTTCATTTCAACAATGCTCTATGACTTGTTATATTTTTGGAGAAAAGGAAAGATGAAAATATTGTGGGCCACATCTATAGATGATAAAAATAATAAGCAATGTATACAGGTGCCTCTCAATAAATTAGAATGTCGTGGAAAAGTTTATTTCATTTATTTTGTACAGTAAATGAACATACTTTCCAGAAGGCCAACAATTCACTAAAAATGTTTTTTTTATTGGTCTTATGAAGTATTCTAATTTGTTGAGATAGTGAATTGGTGGGTTTTTGTTAAATGTGAGCCAAAATCATCACAATTAAAAGAACCAAAGACTTAAACTACTTCAGTCTGTGTGCATTGAATTTATTTAATACACGAGTTTCACAATTTGAGTTGAATTACTGAAATAAATGAACTTTTCCATGACATTCTAATTTATTGAGATGCACCTGTAAGTAATGTTACAAGTTTTTTGTCCTTAGAGAAAGGTTGCAAATAAAGCAGTACTAGAAGCTCCTGATGCATTTTGGCACATTATCCAACAACAAGGACAACTATCCCAATGCAAAATCTCCTCTTTCTAAAAAAAAAAAAAGTGAATGGAAATACCCACTATCAACCTTAAAGTCTTGATGAACAGCTCTATGTTGACATGTAAAGCCCCTATTGGTTTATGCTGCCACCAAGTGGTCACTACAAAGATGTATTTAACACTGAATTTGGAGAGATTTGACCATTTTAAGCTTACAAACTAATGTTAATACATTAAGACACACTGTATTGTATTACTCTGATTTTATTACTCATTCATAAAAAAAATCCTTTGACCATAAACAGACTTACAGCTCCAGTCAACGGCCACAAAAAGCTGTATGACATGTGCCTCTTCTGATCAACTGCTTTAGTAGTATAAACGTAAAAACAAAACACATAAAATACAATCCATGTAACAACACAGCATTCACAGTTCCCTTCTCACACAGGAAGTCTCTGCACAAATTCAAACTCAAAGACAAATAAAATATGAATAAAATAAAACATTTTTTTAAGAAAAATAAATCAATCAAACAACTGTTTTCCTTTCTCACGAACCATGAAAACAACAGGGCATTTTCACCATTAATAGTCCATTACGAATGCATCAGAGTCTGAAGTCATGAGTGAAAAAACCTCCAACAGATACCTACAGAAGAACAGTAAATGCTACACTTGAACAGATCTCAGATCTGCTTAAAAAATTAAATACTTTCCAATGCGGTTCATCGGTCATTTCCCCCATGTGTTGTTAAGTCGAAGAGATGCCACATCTGGCTTCACATCATCATCCGTCTCCCACCCGTCCTCCTCCTCTTCCTGATTTTCCTCATCAGTGGAGAACAGCTCATCCTCAAAGAACGATCCACCCAGCCCATACTCCTGTGTGTGAACTGACACCTCATTGGACAGCAGATGTGGAAAACCCTCAATGAAGTCTGCAAACCTGAGTGCAAGACAGAGTACTGTTTTACACAACATGAAATAAAAATGGACCCTTTACAGTCTTTCTGTATATTTGTTTTTGTATCCGTATTCGTCTTATTGAGCATGATTCTTCAACATTCTGAAGCATTGATCATTCAATAAAATCTGCAATATTTTTAAATACTGACATATGAAATAATAGTCAGGAAAAACATTTTTCATGAAGGAACATTCTTTTATTAACACTTCATTTGTTTTTAAATTATCCTCTCGTACCTCTTAGGGGACTGGAGCCTGGAGACGGTCTTCCAGGTGTTGAGCTCAGGACTGCTGCAGTATTTCCTAAGCTCCTCCAGAGCTTTCTGAGTCTCCACTTCCGACTGTCTCTCATACTCCTCTTCTGTCAGCAGACGCCGTGGTTCAAGTTTCTTTGGCTTCAGCTTCCTTCAGCGCAATCATTCAGCAAGAAGACAATGACTACATTGTTCAACATGTACTTGAACAGCATTTATTATAGTTATATACTCACTGATAAAGCATGAAGACCTTGGTAAAAGGGTACTCCAGGTTCTTGGAGCAGAATGCAGCTATCATGATGGCCAGAGCCACTTGCTGGACCTGAATTCCAGCGTACACCAGCAGAAGGCCGAATATCTGCAGCGTCCAGGACAGGATGTTGATACTTCTCTCATCCACCAGGGGGCCATAGCGGTAACACACTGCAAAACTGATGAACCCGACCACAATGGCATAACCTAAACATATATAAAACTAAGAACAGTCATCCACTAATATACTTTAAAGACTGCATAAATATTAATCAAGAAAATGTTTTTTAAAAGAGAACATGAAATCAAATCACACTGTACAAATTTTTTTTTCGTAATATTTCAATAAATAAAAAACAATAAATAAAGTGAATACTTGTTATCTATCATAAAATAATAAAATATACTTTAGCCCAATTTTAACAATTCAGTTAAAAATTTTCATCCACAGCCATTGTCTCATTGAATACTGTTTCACACAGAGATGTTGTATTACAGAAATTAAATTAGTTTTATACTGGTATTTATGCTCATTAGAACTATGTAAAAAGTTTATTTTCATATTACTTAAATAATATAAAAAATGTCATATTGCAAAAAATAAATGTGTTTTATGTTGGCTTTTATGCACAATAAAAAAAAACTTACTTTTGTTTGTATAAAAAAAAACAAACAAAAAAACTTT